CATGAGGTTGCTAGGCAACGAGAACATTACATGCAACCTGTTGTGGTCGCCGGATATGGTAACGTGTGGAAGCGTGCCTTAAATAGAACAGGTTAATATTAATGGTTGAAAAGAGGTGTGTCTCACTGTTTTGCAGTATTTGTGATTTCGTTGCAATTTCCTTTACGTGAAAAGTAACTGTCTTTAGTCTTTCAATGACAGGAACTAGATCCTTGAGACTTAAAAATTCTTGATTCTGGAAAAATAAGTAAAAAAACAATAAAAAAAATAATAATAATACATGCATGTACATGTACATCTAGAAATAAATTTCAGGAGACCAAAAGCTAAAAATGAGAAACTTTACGGTAAAGTAAAATCTCTTAAACTCCCTCTATATCTTAACAGTGGTTGTATATACCTCACCACTGAAGGTAATAGGAAGGCACTGGAAATATAAAAATATAAATATAAATATAAATAAAAAATAAAAATAATAATACATGCATACATCTAGAAATAAATTTTAGGAGACCAAAATTAAAAATGAGAAACTTTATGGTAGAGTAATATCTCCTCAATTTCCTATCTATATTGTAACAGTGGTTGACTGGTTGTAACTCACCACTGAAGGTAATAGGAGACACTGGAAGCAGACCACTACTCCTTTGGCAATGATCTGGTCCAACCACTGCTGGCTGGCATCGACTGGGCTCTTAATGTATTCCGAACAAGTATTAACATGAGAATTAGCAGCTGCTATTAGTTGATGAGCGAAACCGGTTGTAACTGCCGTCAAACACTGAGAGAATAATCTGTCCCAGGAGTATGTCACCTCAACATCTAAAAATAGAAACAATAATGTAATGCTATTTTTAGTAATATCAATATGCACTTGAATTCTAATTTTAGTAACATGCAGGTTGTGTAATGTTATTCTATTTATAGCAGCACGTACCGTCATTTAATCCAAGAGCAGCCTCCAAGTAAAATTGAATGTCTAGAAAAATTTTTTAAATAATTGTCATATTAAGTAATTTTCTCCTTTCGCTCTTACCTTTCTTTATTAATTTAATGTCGGACTCCATTGCTACAGCAAAACTTCTTATAGCCTCAATGGTCGTATCAAGCTTTGCCAGTTCGTTGCTGTATTTTGTAAACTTTGTGTTCCAGCCCTTAACGTCCTCTAACAATCAAAAAAGGTATAGCTGAACTTCTCGCCTAGTTTTACGGGCTAACCTTTTACAGACTGGCCCTTGA